TATACATTTTCATGGTCATAACATTCAAATTTAAATTTAGACTAATGAAACTTTGTTAGCTCACTTTTTATTCAATTTCATCAAATTTAATGTCAATTTATTGTCAATTTTAAACAAGAGACTTATCACATTTATACTCATATTCAAAGACTTTCCTTCATTATCAATAATAGAACCAAATCTTTTACAACTAAATAAAAATGAATAATTTCTTATCAATTATTATAATTCAAACCATTAAGATATATATCATAATATTTCACTATATAAAAAAAGAGTATTATTTTCTTGAGGACATGATTCTTTCTTATAATTTTAAGAATTTAATTGGTGACTTAGTATTAGATTAACTTGAATTTCACTTAAAAGATATATTCTGTTTCTTCTATTTTATATGTTATTATTTATTTCTTTTAATATTTAACATCTATAATTTATTAGTCAGCTTAAAAATGAGATTAAATTTTTATTAAAAAAAAATCCAAGTTATCATCTTGTAATAATATTGTACTAATAAATTTATTCCCATTTCTTGGTTAAAGTCATTCCGTGATTATATGAATTAGATTAAAATAATCAAACCTTTTGTATCCGAACGCAATATACCACGATCATAAGTTATAGTGAGACTTGCCCGAAATTCTTGCTAAATAATCCTACCTACGGCTCCACTATGAACTAGAACCTACTAAATATTATATATATGCAAGAATGTATCATTGAAAACTTAGTTCGAATTCTTTATAGCATTCATTGTTGATTAATTAATTGTATTGTAATATTATTAAATTTTTGGTTTACATAATATTTTAAGTTTTGAAATTTGGAATAATTTTGGTTTAGGTCTTCCAAATAGATTTTTTTTGGTTACTTTTCTAAAATTAAAAAAAAAAGCTATTTTAATTCCTAAACACTGAACTTAAGAGATTAAATATTTTTTAAAATTTAAATTTAGAGTTTAAGGTTTAAAGTCATAATTTTTTGAAAAAATTTAAAATTTAAATTGAATATTTTTTTAATTATTTTTTATTTATATAATAGATGTATACTTCTCACAAATTAATAAAAACAAATCAATTATAAAATTTTGTAAAATTAATTACTGTGTAATAATTAATATATAATTAGTATATACATGAATATGGTTAATTTTTAAATTTAAGTTACAAATATTTAAAGATATTTAATTATAAATTATTCGAAAATTAATTAAAATTATAAATAAATATAGTGATTAATTTTTTTTTATTATTATAAGAAATATTTTATTAAATAATTATTTCTCTTTTATTTGCTCGATCTAAATATATATAATATTATTGTTTACTCTCTTTTTTTTTATTATTATTATCTTTCTTTTCTTCTCCATTCTTTCCATTCATCTATCAATCCAAACATATGTTTAATAATTATTAAAAGAAAATTATAATTAATATTTTATTATTATTAATTATTCGTTGTAAAAAACAATTATTAATTCTGTCAGAAATCTTCAATATATACAAGATGAAAAAAAGAAGCATCACATCATTCCAATCTTGGAACACATTATCTCAATTTTTATGTATTTTATATTTGAGAAAATACTTTGAATTGTTTAATCCCAAAGTTAAAAGTCTAAAATAATTTCCTCTCTTTTATTTGACACGGGAAATTTATGGTTTTGGAGTGACAGAAAAGTACAGAAAGAAAGTCACAAATGCACTGCACAATGCACATGCAGCAAGAAAAATAATGTTGAAAAGATGGAAAAGCTCGTTTAGAAGAAGCAGAAGCTGCCTTAATTGTTGCCAAATATTTGGTTAGCCTGTCTACTAGTGATGCAGACCCCCACGTTAGATTATCCACGTGGATTTTGAACCGTTGGATTATCCACGTGGAACGAGTTAGTTCAACCGTTAATAACCTCCATTAACGGCTACATTAACGAATAACACGTTTTTTCTGATTCTATTTCCTTTCACCACGATTTGTAGTATTTCCTTGAAAGAGACGACGTCGTCCTCATACGGCTACATGGCTACCCTAAAGATCAAAGTGGGTCCCAAACACCCATGTGCTTTTGCCCCCTTTTTAAATCCTTCCACCAAACACGTTAATGATGTTAATTCCTGAAAATAAATAGTGCCATTAACTCTTAATATACATGTTTATGTTCTTCTTGTGCTATTTACTTTCTTAATTATTAGTTAATTAATTACCTAAATATTTTTATATTAATGATTAATATTATTTTAGTTATATCAAACTATCAATTTTTAATATATTGTATAGATGATTGATTACAAATTATTTGTAATGTATTTGTTTGTACAAATGGTATATAATGAAGTCATTATCTAAGACTATGTATAATAATTAGGAACAGCATTAAGATTGACAGAATGTAGATTAAGAAAAATTAAAAAGGATAAACTGTATAAAATGTTAATAATAAAAAACAAAGTTTGTACTGTTTAATATTTTACTAGTAAAATTAATGATCTGAAATTTCTTAGTAGTTGATCTTAGCCACCATCATTTATTGACTTTAATGATAGTTATGTTAAAAGTTTTATATTAATATACGAACAAGAAAATTTTCATATAAAAAATGTAAAATAAGTAATACTGATTTCTAAATACATAAAAATGCGTAATTAATACTCTTACATGAATATTTTATACACATGTATGATTAAAAAAAAATCATGTATTTAACAATCTAACAACATACCATAAAAAAATAACTATTCCATTTAAAGAATTGGCATACAATATTATAATTTTTTTATAGATATATAGATTGTAGTTAATGAATTGGTGTATTCTAAGCAAAAAATAAACTTATGTTTCTAATCAGATTACTCAATTTATCTACATATTTAGTCAAGACAAAACGTTAAAAGATAAAAGTAAATAGAATAACTAGATTATTTTTTTCTTTTAAATATTAATTGTTGAAATTGTGTCCAACAAGACCTAATATTAGTCTATCACCTACATGTGAAACTATAGTAACAATAATTACAATTGAATAAAATAATCGTGTTGTATAAATCAACATGCAACAATCAAAATTATTCTTAAAGTAATAATACAATATATACAGAACACACTTCTTCCCATGTCCCATGTGTTTCTTACTTTTGTTACCCATCAGTTTCCTTCTATATAACACTAAAAGACAGTATAATTAATAATATTTTAATTTTAGTTTTGTAAATGATATTTAAATCATACCAAATAATATGAGATAGATAGTGTGAGACTTTCAACACGCACTGTTGGACGAGACATTTTTTATCCATGAGAATAACCGGAAATATGTTGAGGCTTTGACTTTGATACCATGTTAAGGTTTAACATAAAATCAATTAGCGATATGTAGAAGTAACCTAACATGTATTTAAACCATACAAAATAACATGAGGTAGGCGACGTGAGACTTTTAACATGAGTGATTTTTTATAATCTATGTTTTCACTAGGGTTTTTTTTTTTTTTCATAACCAACTTTAGGAAAGGAGAATAAAAATAGAATTTGGTAGATCAAAGATGGCTAATTACATTTGTATCTCAAATAAAATCGTAGCTAACATACATGTGAGAAATAAAATAAAATAAAGTATTATAATATTAAATGTTAAGCATTTATCATAAAACCAATTAGTAATATATATCAGGTAACCTGACTGTATATTCCCTTTAACAAAATTGTTGTACCAAATAAATGATATTTTTAATTTATAATAAAATAACTTTTTTTATAAGAACTGAAAAGAAATTAGATTTTGATTCGATAATAAATTAAGATTTTAAAATAAAATAAATTATTAATTCTAACCGATATTTAAATATGGAACTTCCAATTTTAATTTTGTTTAAAGGTATTTATCTCAAATTGGTATAAAAGGATTATTATTTACAATTAATTGCTAAAAATAGTTATTATTTACTAATTAAAAAATGTATTATACTATTTTTTGAAAAAAAAACTTAAAATTATCAAATTAAATTTAGGCATCATGATGTTTTAGCAGAAAAAAAAATATGTTGCGGCTTGGATTAACACAATTGATTAAATTCGATACAAATTTCTACAGGTGTTTATGTAGGTTGGAATCTACGATAATATGTCACTGTTCTCACTTGGTGAACAATTTTACTGCAATCAAGTACTTATATGTTAACAGTAATAATTTATGTGAACCTAGCATCCTCAATCTATGCTTCTAGTTAGACTCATTTAGAATGTGTTGGTCATATTTTCAAATATTTGGAAAAGTGAAAGAAGATTTTGGAAATTAAAAATAGCTTAGACCATTTTTCCAATTTGAGATAACAAAAAAGTCTTATACAAATAGACTTTTAAGTATTGGTCTAATATTCAAGCATAAATAATTATAAGACAAAAGTATCTAACAATCTTCAATCACGAGTCCAACAAAAAAATTGCTACTGCTTTATATTTACATTAAAAGACAAAACAATTTACATCATGTAAATTAGCTTTAATTTAATTTCTAATATTCTTAAGAAAGAAAAGTAGGAAAAATGCATTAAAAGTGTTGGATGTTTAAGTAAAAAAATTAAGTGGTCATTAATAATGATAGTTTTGAAAATATTACTCATGTCATGGATGCATATTTTTTTTCTTAGGAAAATTATCATTTTCAATCACATTGTGTGTGAACTCATGCATAATCTGTTTATGGCAATGCAAATCTACAATAAGATATTGTCTAGATGAATGATGGACATGTCTCGTACGTCAAATTCAAACATCTAATTTGTCTTATTGTTTGAAGAAAATGAGGCACAAACCTCTCTTGATGGATTAAGAATATTCTTTTATATTGCCCAGTGGAATATTTTTACTTGGGAGCAGTTAAGAACCCTAGTTAGTTCTCTATAAATGCCACACTAGCCATTGCATATTCCTCACATCATATTTCACACTTAACTACCAACTACCTTAGAAACTAAAAAATATTGCAGTGGTTTGTGAACTGTGATAAAATGGCTCTTACACTTCAACGTGCATTATCTCATCTATTCACCCTAGTAGCTATACTCTCAATATTCCTAGTGACCCCTTCCTTTTGTTTCAACCCTAAAAAGCTCCTTAACGCTTCATATTATTCCACGTCTGGTTCAGATTGGTCACCTGCAGTGGCCACTTGGTATGGACCTGCCAATGGAGATGGCAGTGAAGGTAAGTAAAAAATAAAAAATAAAAACTTAGTTATTAGCAGTTTTTCCTTATTCAATAATCTCAAATTACGATTGAAATAGTTTACTTCAATGATTATTATATACTTTTGTACCTGTATATACGTAGGAGGAGCTTGTGGATATGGCAACGCTGTTGGGCAACCTCCATTCTCTTCCTTAATATCTGCAGGAAGTCCTCTCTTATATGACTCCGGCAAAGGGTGTGGTTCTTGTTATGAGGTGAGCGGGATTAATCTTCATGTTTTTAGTTAAACGTCTTTCAGAAGAGAAAGGCTATAAATGCTAACACTGTTTTCAACACTATTTGGACCAGTGAAATAGAGTGTGATGAGGCAACTTACAGTTTTATCAGTTTATGTAAATTACACCAACTAAATTAAAAAGCGAAAAATTATAAATCCCAATAATGTTTCTTAAACAAGATTTTGGTTTTAGGATTACTGAGAAAAAAACATACAATTAAAAGAAAAAGTCATATGAATATGACTAATCAGAGATTTTTAAATAGAGATTAATGATTTCAGTAAAACTAAACAAAATGTTTGTATAGTGAAATTTATTTATTTTTTGTCTTAATTATTTTAAAATTGGAACTGTTGTTGATAATATATATACTTGTTAATTAAATTCATCTGGTTTTGGTTCTATTTTCAGGTGAAGTGCACAGGGAACCCTGCATGCTCAGGCAGCCCCGTGAAAGTAGTGATCACTGATGAGTGTGCTGGGTGTGGCTCAGATGCTCAATATCATTTTGATTTGAGTGGAAGTTCGTTTGGAGCAATGGCAGTTTCAGGCCAAGATGAGAATCTACGCAATGCAGGAAAAATAAACATTCAACATAGAAGGTAGTCAAGCAGACTAATTAATTATCATTCCCGATGAGACAACAATTAATTCTTAACAACATCCTTATACTTTTCTATAAATATTTCAACATTCTTGACTTTCACTTATACATGGTCTATGTTTTTGTCTACCATATTTTGTTTTTAACCTTTGGGTTAAATATGTAACTAACGAATTAGAGACGGATTCTACTGCAGAATTGAATGCGAGTATCCTGGTAGGTCAATAGCTTTCCACGTGGACTCTGGCTCAAACCAAGAATATTTCGCTACCTTGGTTGAATATGAGGATGGCGATGGTGACCTTGCCAAGGTTGAACTCAAGGAAGCACAAGATGATTCAAACTCATGGGATTCCATGCAACAATCATGGGGTGCAGTTTGGAAACTTGACAAAGGCTCACCACTGAAGGCGCCATTCTCTATCAGGTTAACCACACTTGAGTCTGGCAAGACCATTGTGGCCAACAATGTGATCCCTGCAGAGTGGACTCCTGGTCAGACTTATAGATCAATTGTGAATTTTGAAACCTGAGGATTTATGAGACCATCTAGTTATCATAATATTATATATATTATGATCGAAGATATCTAATCAAATGTCATCCTATTAGTGGACTTTTGATTGTCTTCTGTAATCAATTATGAATGAAATTGTGGCTTGTTACTAGCTATGCTAATTATTATTATGGGCTGCTATTTTCTTTTACCTGTGAGAAAGGAATCTTATTATATATGGATTAATTATTCAAATAAAATTGGAAAGACTTAACTTTGAATCCTATATCTTATCGAGATAAGTGATAAACTATATATATTTATCTCCCGTGTCAGAGTTGGAGTTTAATGCTAAAACTATCATTTTAAATAGGAGTGTTGAAGAGTTAACTAATTTAAAAATTAAATTGAAAAATGATAAAAAAAAATAAAAATTTATTAAAACCAATTTTTTATTTTTTTGGATTGAAAAATTTTAAAATTGACCAGGTTGATTTTCGGTTTTACACTAAAAATCAATTCAAACTTGATCAAACCCAAAATTATAATATATATAATATTAAAATTAAAATATAAAATAACACGAGTAAGTCAATTAAATTTGTATAATTTAAAACGTGTATTTTTAATTATTAATTGATTCTAGAAATATATAAAATAAATTAAAATTATAAATATGAAAATTATTTATAAATGATATTTTTATAGTATATCTTTCTATTAAATATCTATTTTATTATAATATATATATATATAAAAATTATTTTATAAAAGAAAAATCTGTAAAAACTTATTAAATCAAACTATAAAATATTAATTAGTTTATTTTAACTTTTTAAAAAAATAAAGTCAAGCTAAATTAAATATCGCATTTAAATTTTATATTTGATACAAATAATTTTTTTTTATAAAATCCAATCAAGCTCCTACCATCCCTAATTTTAAATATGAAATAAACTATGAAAGGAAGGAAATTTTATGTACACATTACTACAAAATATACTTTCAACGTCGCCATTTAACGTCGGTTAAAGCTGAGCCGACGTTAAATACATTTTCAACGTCGGTTGGTTCTAGATGAACCGACGTTTCAACGTTGGTTCTAGATGAACCGACGTTGAAAGTCTTTTAATTTAGACATTCAACGTCGGTTCCCAGATGAACCGACGTTGAATGTGTTTTCACCCAAAAATTCTCTTAATTTCAAGAATTGTCACTAACGAGATTCGAACCCAGTATTTTAGAGTTGAAAGTTGATACTCCAACCACTAAACTACTGTAATTTTCCGATAATAACTTACAAATTAATTATATTTATATACAAATAAATATATATCAGTGTAAATATATATTTATTTATATATATTTTCTGGAAAGTGTTTTTATTTTTTTCGATCAAAAATTTACTTAAGTTCGAGAATTGTCATCGACAAGATTCGAACCCGAGTATTTTAGAGTTCAAAGTTAATACTCCAACCACTAAACTACTGTAATTTTCCGATAATAACTTATAAATTAATTATATTTATATATAAATAAATATATATCCGTGTAAATATCTATATTTTACTGGAAAGTGTTTTTATTTTTTTTCAGCCAAAAATTTACTTAAGTTAGAGAATTGTCACTAACGAGATTTTTTGAACGTAGTATTTTAGAGTTGAAAATTGATACTTCAACCACTAAACTACTATAATTTTTTTATAATCATTTACAAATAAATTATATTTATATACATATAAATATATATTCGTGTAAATATATAAATATAGAATATATAAATACAAATATATTTATATATTTTGATATATTTATATATTTTGATATATTTATATATATTTATATAGTTATATAGTTATATATTTATATGTTGGATGTGAAGGCGCGTTCGAGGGTGAAAGTGAGATTGACTATCGCTTGAGTGAAAATACGTTAAAACTCACGGAAATTCACTCGTTCAAGCCTCGCTTGAGCGAAAATTGGTATTTTTCGCTTGAGCGAATGATGCGTTTCTCATATTTATTTTATATCATTAATAAATTATAAATATTATATTACGTCATTAAATTACAAACCCATATAAAGAGACTCGCTCACAAATTTGACATCAAATTTTGAAAACTCACTCGACACACTTTCACCTTCGAGCGTGCCCTCACATCCAACATATAAATATATAATTATATAAATATATCAAAATTTATAAATATATTTGTATTTATATATTTATATATTTACACGGATATATATTTATTTGTATATAAATATAATTTATTTGTAAGTTATTATCAAAAAATTCGAGTAGTTTAGTGGTTGGAGTATCGACCTCCAACACTAAGGTACTGGGTTCGAATCCTGTCAGATCTAAACTTTAAAAAAAGATGATAAATAATAAAAATATAATATAAAAGAGAGGGGGATTTCTAGATAAATAGATAGAGGGGAGAGGGGTTGGAAATAAATTAAAATTTTCGATTTGAAAGTCGGGACTTTCAACGTCGGTTCTATTTAACAGACGTGGAAAGTTAAAATCGGACTTTCCACGTCGGTTAAATTGAACCACTTTCAACGTCGCCGATACAACGTCGGTTCGGAACCGCCGTTGAAGACCTTCCGAACCGAGCGTGGAAAGCCTTATTTGTAGTAGTTACACTAATAGTGACGGTAATTGTTTTTAGTCTATTCAGACCATTATCATTATCAAATAAATATTAATGTAATTAAGGATTATATTTTAGTTTTTTTTTTTTTAAATCTGCAACAATTTTAACTGAAATAATTTTCAGCAAATGAAAAACGAGGAAAGTTGATTAGAAAAGTCAAACCATCATTTTTTTTTTAAGAGTCGCTAACACAAGAAAAATAAATAGGAAAGAAAGATAGAAATTTTAAAGTCTTTGCAAGATTTGAATTGAAATTAATTTAGTAGTCTAAGATTAATTTCCAATATGTTTTACAACATAGAAAAATGATTTCAGATACAATAGTTAAAATTCACCAATATTTATACTCTCGTGACATTAAAAATGTGTAGAATCCAACTTGATAAATTTTTATTAATTTTAAAATTATTCATGTTTATTAACAAAGCTACAGCAGGGTATTTATTACATTGTCTCATTTATATGCCTTGAATTTATATAATGGACCTTGAGTAAAAACTGAACAGGGGGCTTAAATCACGCATAGGGGAATTGAAAGATAAATAAGATATAACAGTTTCACAGACTAAGAATAAAATGGAAAAAAAAGTTAGTCAATATAACTAGAGATTGGACTATTTTTTCTATTTCTTTGTTCACACCCTAACACTCTCCTTTCCATCATAAAATTAAATTGACCAACTAAATATTATTGTTCTTTCAATGTTATGGACATGTAATGGATAACTCTTTTACTTCTTGAAAAGAAAAAAATGTCATTCTTTCAATGTTATGTACATGTAATAGATAACTCTTTTACTTCTTGAGAAGAAAAAAATGCCATAGATATTTTTCTTTCAACTAAAATCAACACATAAAGCATATAAAATAATATGGCGTTTTAGACAATAATATAATCTAACTGAGAAGTATACGAAATATACAAAATAGGAAGATTAAGAAAAAAAAAACTTATATCTTCCACTTATGGTCAAGACAACAAAAATCCAGATGAAGTGTTATTTAAAATAACAAAAGTTGCACCAACATATTATATATATATATATATATATATATATATATATATATATATATATATATATATATATATATATATATATATATATATATATATATATATATGATTTTCTTTTTTCATAAAAAAATATCAGTTGCGAAATGACAAGTTACTCTAATAAAATTGTATGACCTATTAAAAGAACTGTGGAGAGTTGATCATAACACCGACCACATGACAATGACTACACGTTAAGTTTGTAGATATATGAGTTTAAAGCATTGATTTGAATAACATTGTTTCAAATATTTTATTGCACTATAATTATAATTTAGTATTTCGTGAGATGCAAATGAGTTCATCCCATATGGACTCATAAAGTACAAAGATATCTTCATTTGTTCCTTCTATCTTTTGCAAGAACTTCTTCATCAAGAGATTCAGAAAAAAAAGCTAACATGATAGATATAGTCATACTTAGTTTAAAATTATGAATATACAGATACATAAATAAGTAGAGATAACAAAACGGATCATGTTATAATCCATTCTGTCTCTAACCCACCAAAAAATAGAACAAAACGAGATAGATCTACTATAGTTAGAAAGGCTAAGGATCTCAACCCGTCCTATCAAAGGATGGACTCACGGGTCGGTCTCCAATCATTTTTTTTATTTTATATGTATTTTTAATAATATCTTTAATTATATGAAAAACTTTTAATTTTTTATTTATTAATTAATATTTTTATTTAATAAATTTAAAAATTATTATAGTCATATATTAAAAGAATTAATTATAACTAATAATTTAAATTTGATTAATTTATATAATTTAAATTATAATAATATAATATCTTTAAATATTTTAATAATATAAAAAATATAATATTTTTAATTATAATTAATTTTTTTAACGTATAAATATGTTTTTAAAACGAATTAGTCCACATTTTTTGTTTTGCCCGGCTGCCCTGGCTATTTTCCCATTCATACGCATGTTTAACATAACCGAGGCCTATCCTCTGTTTTCTTTTTCTTTAACCGCAAAACTACTCTGGGTTAGAATAATGGCATAAGTCATACTTGAAAGAAGCAAAAGTTAATATTATTGGTGTACATTTTCTCCATATGTTATTATATTTGCAATCTTAGTATGATCCTAATTAATCATTTGCACCTCTTGAGAATTGACATAAGGAGGATCAAAGACACTAAACGCTCTGAAAGCCGAAATCACGGCTAAAACAAGGAAGCAGCAAAATGTGATGGCATGGAGTATCAAAGCCAACTTCACTCTGCCACAAAACCTGCCATAGGAACTGCATGCTTCGCTCCAAGAATCTTCCTTTGCACCATTGTAAGCCAGGTAATATATCTCTGTCACTGCAGCAACTGATGTCATCGTTAAATATGCCACTATCTGTGAGAAGGATCATTTGTAGATACGTTAATAGATCACCCACAAGATCCTAAAAGCTATAGCAGTAGATATTTTTCATTTTTTCTTTTTTAGAAAAAGAAACCAGAAACTCGGAATGGATGCAAGCCAAATCAGTTCATGATCATATTATTCTCCTTGATATCCTTAAGGAGAGATTAAATCAATAATAAAACTGAAACTGAGAAAAAGATAAAACGTTGGGCTCCTTAATTCAATGCTGGCATGAATGGAATTAAGGGTATAAAACAAAAGTATTAAACCTGATCAGAGACAAAGAAAATCCAAGCTTTGGATACAAAGCATCTGAGCCATGAGCACGCAGCAGCAACAAGAGCATAGCATGCACAGAGGGCACTGACTAAAACCATATACCTGTCAAAAACAAATTGTGAAATTAAGTGCTTTTAATCTGCAAAAGAAAGAAATTATGATAATCAGAGACTGGACAGTAGAGAATGAAGGTGGTTCTTACTTGAGAGCAGAGAGGTTGTTATATTTGAGTATTCCATAGCTGATGTTGTTCTGCTGGTTAGTGACAGTAACCCATATGGTTGCCACAGATAAAGGAACCGCACAGAGCCTCAGAGAGGAATCAAAAAGCTTAAGCATTGGAAGGTGATGTTTCTTCCCAGATTCACTATCTTCAATATGTGTTCTATTTTATAAAGCTGGTTGAAGGATCATAGTTTCTCTCAGAGTACTAGTAGTGAGTTTATTTGGTATTGGTACTAGATTCACACACGGGTTCATCTTAGTGGGGTTGGTGAGCATAGTGGGAAACGCTTTTTCAGAGTACTTTGTCGTTGGTTTTATCATGTCCCAAAATTACATCATTGCTTCCACTTCCGCGTGGCAAAATACGACACTTTATATTTTCTTTATGAAAATTTGTTCAATTTCACTATTCTTGTTACTTTTTCCAAAATGAATGAATTGTCTGAGAAGGAATCAATTTATCTGCTTTTTATTTTATTTTAGATCATCAAGAAAACACTTTTATAGAGAATTCTACCAATTAAGCTCTAATCATTATCATTAAGTTCTAATCATTATCATTAAGTTCTTGCTTATCAATTCTGATTTTTTATTTTTATTTTTATTTTCAATATTAACTCAAATATTAAATTAAAGGTCAAGAAATGTCAAGTTGTGAATATTTAAATAATTGAAAAAATGAATTTAACTCATTATTAAAGATAAAAGAGAAATTGATAACAAAATTTAATATAAGTAATGATCCAAAATTGCTAAAAAGTTTACTTGAAATAGTCAATTCTTCATTATGTCTTTTCATAATGTAAGTGTCTTTCAACAATTTATCATCTTTAATTATACTTATTTTATTCTATTTATATTTATTTTGTGTAACCACTAAGAGAATAAAATACAAATAAAATAAAAAATTATTTCCTTTCCTATAATCGTTTCTTTCCTTTTCCGGACAGTTTTATTGTCACGTAACACTTGTAACCGTTCATGTCACTTAGTGGATTATAATTATATTTACATGCTTTTCGATGATGTAACTCCTTTTCGGTCCCTTATTTTCTTTAATTTTTTCAATTATATTTCTTTATTCTCTATCTTTCTCGATTGTATAATTGTCTCTCGATATCTCCCTTATTCTTCTTGATTTCTCTAAGTTTATACATTTCGATAACTCCTTTAAATATTTTCTTTGTTCTTTCTCGATTTCTCTAAGTCATCTTTTTACATTTGAAAACATTATTCACTTTTGATTATGTGTTTCTTGATTTCTCATCCAATTATGATGAACATTCGACTCTTTCATCTTAAATTATTATCTTCTTTCTTTCTCGATTTGTCTTTCGATCATTATGAACCATCGATTCCCTAATTCTTCAACCCTCCCTAACCACCTTGCTTTCATCTCAATTTCCTCTTTCGATTACTATGAAGTTTCAATTATTTGATTCTTTAATTTTCATTTTTTATCAGTTGTTTTCTTTGATCTTGATTTCTTATACATCTCTTAATTACTTATATTTTTTATTTTTTATCACTATCGATCCTTAATATTTTGATCTCGACTTTTAAACTCTCGATCTTTATCATCTCAATTTTGAACCTCTCAATCATCACCACTACAAACATTATTGTTCTTGTATAAGTTCTCACCATTAAATTTAGAACAATCATTCTCTCTGAATTCGATTATTTCGCACCAAAATCGGATATCATGATATTGTTCTTCACCAAATTCTCTTCTTTTTTTCCCAAATCTCTTTAATATTGATTTAGGAAAAATGTTAACTACTGTTCTTCCATCGGTAAGGACTTTGTTTATTATAATTCCTTCGATTTCTATTTTCAACATGAGAAGTTTTAAATGAAACCTCATCTCTTTAGTGAGTGGATTAATAAGAACATCATCTTAATTAGGCGATTCAAACGATACTTGAGTAACCCACACAACTTTGGATTTGAGAGTTGGCTCATAGTAATCTTCTTAATATAAATCCTGTCTTTTCTGATCTTTCTCATATCGATTTGCATATTAATTAGGAAATATCGATACAACTCTAACACTCACGTTTCTCTGGAGTATAATTGCACTCAAACATTCATCTTGGTTAATCAATGTGCCAAAATACACTTGATCAACCTGGCTTGAACTACCTCTCTTCATAGGTCCAACCCTTGATACTTTCCTCCAAAAGGGTTGAGAACATTACCCCTCATCCAAGGACCTCCTCGACAAAATCTCTTTTTATACATAGGATAGCTAGTATAAAAATCTGAAATGCATGACAATTTGTTGAATACACTTTCATTCCTCGACCCATAAATGCCTCGATGATGAAACACTTTACCTCTTACTCATTCATTTTCATTCACTTTTGCACAAGGTAAAAAGGTTCAATATTACTTTTGATTATCTTTCACTATAATCCAAATTTCTTTATCATTATAATCGAGACTTTGCTTTTGTTTATTGATTAATTTTTTCTTCCTTTCTAACTTAAACTTTGTTGTAGAAGATTTATCAAAAATAACAATGTACCTTAGCCATAAAGAAACTTCTTCATTCTGCTTTTTCTTTCTTCTCTTAAATTCAACCAATGTATCTTTCACCTTAGGATAGATTTCATTTTCCACCTCGAATTCCTCTAACTCTAACTCGAAATCTTCCTCGACTTCATTCATCTCTATATGGTGTGGATTTATATCATCAAATGTAATATCTATCATGTAAATCCCCAAAGCATCGATATCCTCAACACCATTAGTAGTGTTAAGTTTGGTTTCGATGTACCTCGTATGCGCTTTGAAAGGATATGTATCCACCTTCATCGACTTCTCTTCAAATTTCAACATATCTTGTTCGATAGCATCCTATATTGTACTCCTGAAATGTATTCAGTTATTAGTCCAATGACCATATATATTGTGAAATTTACAATACTTTCTTCCTTTTCTCTATTCGAAGTAAGCAATTTATGATCATCATTTAACTTTATTTTATTATCTTTTAGTAAAATATAAAAAATTTTATTATTTTTCAATACATCAAAACTATAAGTTCAATTTTTTATTTTATCATAAATTACATTTTTTTTGGAATAATTTGCAAGTATAAGGTGGACATACTTTAAGTTCAAGCAATATTAACTTTTTCATTTCACTCAAATCATCCACCTCATCTACCTCTAAAATATCGGGCAATTTACTACTCAATATACCAACATACCTGATTTTATCTTTTTTAACATTTTTTCTAACTTGTTTATATTTTTCTTTCTCATGTTCAATTTGTTTGATCCTTTGAACTTTATCAGCTAACTCGGCTAAATCGCTGAAGGATAAGTTAACTAATTTTTTCCTTATCGAAAACTCTAACCCTGTAACAACCATTCTTACCAATTCACTTTCAAGTATTTTAGTAAAACATCTAGAGTTCAACTGTCTAAACTTGTTTAAATAATCATCAATATTCTCATTATGATATATTTTCACATTTATTAGATCTATCAAACTAACTTGTGTCTTTCCTCTAAAAAAATATTCATAAAAATTAATCTCTAATTAAGCACGGTTATAGATTGAATTTGGAGGAAGTGTTGTAAACCATGTAAAAGCATTTTTTGTTAAAAGACTAGGAAAATATTTTACTATCAAGTTTTCGTTTGTTAAAATATTCTCATATTCAATTTGATATCCAACAACATGTTCTACCATGAACTCTCCAATATTACTAGAAAACTTTGGAAATTTTGATATTTTAAGTCCTTGAGGAAGTTCAGCTTCGACCACAAAATTGGGGAATGGTGAAATGAAATAAGGATGATTATACAACACGATTCCCACATCTTATTGATCGTTCCCTTGTCTCATGCCAGGATTATATGAATTATTTTGATTATACATGTTATTCATCATATTTCCTTTGAAATTATTATTCCTCCTTATATTATTTCTCATTTATAACACTTGGTCAACATTTCGACCACTCCTAACAATTTGAATGTTTCTCATTTGATTTAGATTTTCCTGAATATTTTGAAAGTTATTTTGACCTTGATTTTCATTTTGATTATTTCCTATTTGGAAGCCATTATTTTTGTTAAGTGGTAAAAAATTGATATAATTATGCTTTGAATTGTTATGAAACCACTTAACTTATGTTAATTCTAATCTATTTTTCTTCCAATGTAGGATGAATTCCAGAATACCTTGATAAAAGAGTAAGGAGCATAATTATCAGCATAATTGGAGCAAAACTGAAAGAAGGAAGAAGATTTTCAGCATGGAAGTCGCTCGAGCGAGATGGACTCTCGCTTGAGCGAATATCAGTTATTCTTCTCTGGAATTTAGTCACTCAAGCGCAAGTAAATTCACTTGAGCAAATGTTAGTTATTTTTCTCTGGAGTTCACTCGCTCAAGCGAGCGATTTGTCACTTGAGCGAAAATAGAGAACTTTCGCTTGAGCGAATGTTATCGCTTGAGCGAAAGACGCAAGACCCAAATTTTCCTATAAAAAGATAAAAGGTGTTTTGAGATAAGTAAGCGGTTTTGGGGAGAAAATGTGTGACTACTGCTAGGGTTTCGTCCAATTTTCACCAATTCTTCACTTCTTCCTCATTTGGAGCATTGTAATGACCAACATGAGTGACTAACTTCATTCTCTTGAGATTTGGTGCACTTCCTTTGAACTTTTTTGTATCATGGTGATATTTTGAAATATTAATCTATGTTTTGATGTTGTTATTCTTATCCTTTATGCTTTTGAATGATTTATCCTTGATGTTGAGATATGATTGGAAAATATATCTTGAATCCTAGATCACGGTAAGAATATTTGTTATGTTAATTGCTAGGAATGAAATGAATGTATTAATTGCTTAACACCCTAAACCTAATGCTGGAAAATCTCTTAATTGTGTGAGGAATCAATATTTATTAGGTTTTCTTATCAATTTCATGTGTGAGGAATCAACATAGATGATTTGAGTAGGTGACATCAACATTGTTAGGTTATTTGACATTCTTAATTGACATAGTCATTACAAAAGAGGGAAAAGGAAGGAAGTTAATCCTAAGTGCCTTTAATTGATTTTTTCTCAATAATTTACAGTTCTTTGTCATTTAATTTCAATTCAACTCTTTATGCAAAACCCAATTTGTTTTAATCCACTTAGTAAGCATATAATTGAGAATTTCTATTGAAACCGTTCCTCGTGGGATCGACTTTTATTTAATCGAAATACTATACTCTAATTGATAATTTTGGTACGCTTGTCAATAATTCA